ACAAAAAATATATATATTTATCAATTTTTTATTAACAATAATAATGTAAATAAAAAAAATCTTTATTTTCCCTTAAAAATAACTGATTAGAGCTCAAAACTGACAACAGCTCTCCTAAAATACAGTATTATTATTCAATTATTTCTATGTCTTTAGGTTATCGAGAATCGCAGTTCGTGATTTAATTCAAGAATTAAGACCATTTATACAAGAAAAACAGAGAACAACTGCAATTCCTATTCATTTGCAGATTTAAAAAATATATTTCGTAACATAAAAAAATAAAAAAACAATTGCATTAAATCGACATAAATGTACATATATTTTAACCCTTAAAGCGCACACTTACGAATCCATTATCAAACCGCACATTGGATGTGCGACACCCGGAGACTTAAAAATGTGTTCTTCAAGCTTGAAAAGGATAGTATCTTTTAGAAAAATTATCTTATGTAGCTCAGTACATCTATTTTGAAGGAAAATAGGTTTCATAATTATTTATTTAATCTTAATAATTAAAAAAAGTTTTTTAAAACTACTATTCAATATTTTTTTAAATTGAAAAAATTATTTTTCATAGTAACGATTTAAAAAAAAATTATTTCGGGTCAGTTGGGGTACATAGGTACAAAATACTTATGTTTTACTAATAACGAATTAAAGTTTTTCTTTTTTTAAGAAAATTTTATGATTTTATGATACTATGGAACATTTTAAATTGTAATAGGTTTTGACTTGAATTATCTTGCTAACAATTATCAAAACAAAAAAATTGACAATATTCATAACCTCTTGTAGGTGATCTGAAATTAAAATATTGACGTCGAATTTAATTTTTTATCTTAAATCTTATGTCTTATTTAGCTCCAAGTACTCTAACTGACCTTTATTAAATTAATTAATATTAATCAACTAAAACATAATTGAAAATATACAATAACATTATTGTATCAATTATAATATTTTAAAAATGAAATCACAAACTTCAAGTTCAAAAATCTAATTGAACTTCTATTTTATTATATAAATGGGGCAAAATACACCCAATTCCTCAACTGACCAGGTCAAAAAATAAATGTTATTGAATTTTCTCGAAACTTTGCTAAAATGTTACTATTATTAGTGGAAATGTAAATATAAAATATTATTGAATTTTATAAAATATTTTTTGAGTTACATCGTTTCAAAATTTTGACTTTTTTGAAAACGTCTTTTTTTTCAATTTAACATATTGATAAGTAGAATTAATGAAATTAGAAGTGTGAATAACGATTTTTGAAGGGTTTTTCAAAAGCTACAAGCTGGTGATGACAACAAAATTTTTTTTTTAATTTGACCTTGAAGGTCAAATTTTTTTTTTTTTATTTATTTAAGGTCAAATTATTAATTTCAATATATCTCGAAATCGACGTTTTTTCTTCTAACCTATCCCAATCGAAAGCTTACCTTTTTTCCTATATGGCATGTAAAAACCAGAGTGGGACCTTGAACGGTTTTGCAAAAATTATATATAAATACCCCGCGCGCTCCGACCGCAGGTCACCCGGCGCGCCAGGCATCACACGCCGATAACGCTTTAGATTGTCAAAAAGATCTTTATTACTATTTATGATAATTTTAATTATTTTTTAACTGATCTTTGCATTTTATAGTTTTATATTTAACAATAATAATTTAATAAATTTTAAAAAAGTAATAATTTTCAATAATTATAATATAATACTATTAATATAAATGAAAGTATTGTTGGTAGGTATTTTAAAATTCCCGCCGAATTTAATAGTTCTAAAGTGTCCGCTAGATGGAAGACTTTCTCATAAACGAGATTGAAACTGAAATGTATATAAGAGAGCCTACACTTCTTGGAAATGTCTTTACAAATTTAAATCCGCATATCGCTTTGCTAATCTTTTGTAAAATTTGTGCAGGTTTGTACCATTATACTTTATACTTTTTAAAATTTTTAATAGTAGTATGAGTTCATATTTTTTTTCTATAAGGCTTTTTTTTTTGTTAGAGGTACACAACACTGCTTGCGTTTTGTGTTTTTTGTGATATCGAAATTTGCAGAAATGCCCAAGAAAAGAGAAGTTGAAAAGCAATGGAATAACCGTTGCATTCATTGCCGCAAATTTCCTTCTAAAACCGTAATATTACGTTGTATTTCAAAAAATATTCTTGAAAAGTTTCCTGAATTCTCTAGTGATTCAAAACTTTGTTCTAGATGTAGGAAAAACTTGAACAAATCAAAAATGTCATCGTCTTCTACTTTACAATATTCAGTAAAAAAACTTGCATAAAATGATTTAACATTTGACAAAAATGAGAAAGAATATGAGGAAGATGATGTCAAAAATGATACGGATTTTATTCCATTGATTAAAAAAAATAATTTAATCTCTCAGTGTAACAACGATTATCATCTCGCTGGAGTCGAGGTTTTAAACCAGATTAAAGAGCAATTCAAAAATTCCAAAAATCATGACGAGAAAGTTCAACTTCTAACACTTGTACCCAAGTCTTGGGGCCGTGTTAAGGTTGATGAATGAATTTGGAGCTTCTCAGAGAGAAGTAAGAGTGGCAAAAACATTAGTTTCACAAAATGACATCTTACAGCTTCCGAAGAAAAAAACAGGTAAACCTCTTAACGAAGAAACCGAAATTCTTGTAAAATCATTTTTCAATCGTGATGATATTAGCCGCTTAATGTCTGGAGCAAAAGATTATGTGTCTGTAAAAAATAATAATGGTATTCGAGAACATGTACAGAAAAGATTACTTCTTTGTAATCTAAGCGAATTATATGCTCAGTTTAAAATGGAAAATGAGGGAATTAAAATTGGAATTTCGAAATTCACTCAACTGTGACCCAAACACTGTGTCTTAGCAGGAAGCAGCGGCTCTCACACTGTATGTGTTTGTTTATTGCATGAAAACGTAAAACTAATGCTAGATGCCGTGAATATCAAGAAATTAACTGAAGATTCCGAAATATCACTGAGCAATTTTTCTGATTGTCTAAAAATGATTCTGTGCAATAATACGAAGTCAGCTTGCTACTTAGGAGAATGCAAAACTTGTCCAGATTTAAATAAATTTAAAGAATATTTAGTTCATGCTTTTGAAGAAAATGATGTAGAAGAAATTAAATTTGATTGCTGGATGCAAACTGACAGATGCACAATGAAAACTTTAACTGTGGATACTGATTCTTTTGCGAACGAATTATGTGAACGTTTAATAAAATTAAATGTTCATGATTATATTGCTAAAGAGCAAGCAAAGTTTTTCAGAAACTTAAAAGAAAATCTGATTCCTGGTGAGTTTATTGTTTCCTTTGATTTTGCCGAAAATTACGCTTTTGTAATGCAAAATTCCATTCAGGCATTTCACTGGAACAATGACCAGGCAACCATATTCACAGTAGTTGTGTATTATGTTGAAAATAAAAAATTAAATCACATAAGTATGGCAGTCATATCCGACAATTTGAGTCACGACACTATTGCTGTTTACGAGTACCAAAAAATAATAATAAACTACTTACAAAGTTTAAATTTGGATGTCAGAAAGGTTTATTATTTCACAGATGGGGCTGGTCAACACTTTAAAAACAAAAGTAGTTTTTCAAATCTCGCAGCTCATAAAGAAGACTTTGGTGTTGTAGCTGAGTGGCATTTCCATGCTACGGCTCATGGAAAAGGGGCTTGTGACGGTATAGGTGCCAATATAAAAAGACAAGCAGCTCGATTCAGTCTACAATGTGATATCAGTAATCGAATTTTGGATGCTAAAGCATTATATTCCTGGGCCAAAGATCATTGCAAAGAAACAAAAATTTTCTTTAGCAGTAAAGAAAGTTATATAGAATCGTCAAAAGAACTGAAATCGAGATTCGATAAAGCCGTTACAATACCAGGTACTTTGAAATATCATGCTTTCATACCGACAAATGATGGAAAAATAATATTAAAAAGATTTTCCTCATCTGATGAATTCGATTGTTTCCCAAAACAGAAGACCAGCACTCGCAAAGTAACAAAAAAGAAAAAATAAATTTTTGTAAGTTGTATTATTAATAACACAGATTTTTAGGATATCCCTGTGTTATTACGAAACAATCGTTTCTCAATGTTATCGTTTTTCATAATTTTAACTTTTTCAATTCACATTTAAATTAAAAAAATTTTGTATCTTTAATATTCTAAATCGTTTCTTATGATTTTAATTTTTGCAATTCACATTTAAATTTCAGAAACTTTTTGTAACTTTAATATTTTAAATTCAAAAAATTAAACACTTTGTATAAAATTTCAAAGCCCTCCATTCGGCAGTAGGTAGAATAGAGGGACAAATTAGCAGTGGTGGTTATGCGGTTGGTACTTTTCTTGATATCGAAGGTGCCTTCCCTAACACCTCTAGCAAAACTATCTGCAGGGCAGCCAGGATGCGAGGCGTGCCCGAGCCGCTAGTTAAGTGGATCGACAGCATGCTTCGCGAAAGGGCCCTGGAGGCAGAGTATGGTGAGGCCAAGGTAACCGGCCTTGTCTCAAAAGGGTGCCCACAGGGAGGAGTTCTCTCTCCTTTATTGTAGTGCTTAGTGGCAGATGAGTTAATTAGAAACCTCAATAGCCAGGGATATTATACGCAAAGTTATGCGGATGATTTCCTTATAATTATAAGAGGGCACTCAATTGAGACCCTCTTAGAACTTACGGAACGTGCGCTTAAGATTGTCAAGGATTGGTGCAATCTGACTGGAAAACCCAGAGAAAACGAATATAGTAGTTTTCACAAGAAAATATAAGGTACCGAGTTTGAAGAAACCGATATTTTATGGAAAAGAGATTTCCTTTTCTGAATCGGCTAAGTATCTGGGAGTAATTCTGGATAAAAAGCTGGTTTGGAGGGAACATTTCGAATATCAGTATAGCAGGTTTTGTACCGCGTTTTGGGCGTGTAGAAGGGCGATAGGGTCATCATGGGGACTAAGGCCTAATATGGTCAACTGGCTCTATCAGATGATCTTAAAACCAAGGTTTCTTCACGCGGTGGTTGTCTGGTGGTCTAGGACTCAACTGATAACGGTTAAAGAGAAACTAGGCCAACTGCAAGCAATGATTTTCAGGGGTGTTACGGGGGCAATGAGGACCACGCCAACAGCTGCGTTGGGATTCATGCTTGCCGAGGTACCTCTGCATATTGCCGCGGTGAAAAAGGCGGCTCTCACTATGAGCAGGTTAACTGCGCAGGGAAGGTGGAAGGTTGGTGGTATACACACCAAGCTTCCACGCTCAATTCTATCAATACCAGAATTAAGTATGGTGCAAGATAGAATGATCAAGAGGGTGAAATTTAAACCCCGCTTTAAGATCATTACACCTTCCAGAATGGACTGGAAGAAAGGTTTTCCACTTGGGGACGAAGTCTGGTATACAGACGGCTCCAAGATGGACTGCGGTGCAGGCAGGCAGAGGTCTGTGCGATTTTAACTTGCGCCCAAATATCCATTCGAAATGGAACAAAGGGCAAGAGGATTAGTATTTGTGTGGATAGTCAAGCGGCCTTAGGGGCTCTGAAAAATCCCACAATAGAATCAAAACTCGTCTGGGAATGCCGGAGCGTACTAGATGAGTTGGGTTCAGCAAATAGACTTTCATTGATTTGGGTACCGGGTCACTCGGGAATCAAGGGTAATGAAAGAGTAGACGTCTTGGCGAAAACCGGTTCCGAGACGAAATTTATAGGTCCTGAACCAGCAGTGGCAATAATGCCATGCTTGGTTAAGGGAGCCATAGAAAGATGGGGTGAAAAGGAACATGAGAAGTATTGGGCGAACGTTGGGGTGGGAAGGCAAGCGAAAACTCTGTTGGGGTTAGCACTCAACAAGAGGAGAGCGAACTGGAGTCTGGTACAATGGGTTCTATAACCTAGGTGCTTACTTTCCCCTCTTGAGGAAAATCCAGCTCGATCTCGGTGTCAGATTAGATTAGATAAAATTTCAAAGAATTTTCTTAGAAATTTTGTACATACTGTTTAATTTACTTTAATTATACTTCACTTTTCAAAATTTTCAGTAACTGTAATGCAGGCATTCCAATGACAGTCTCAACCCTGTAAAAATGCAGAGAGCAGTTAAAAAAGTAGTAAAGATCTTTTTGACAATCTAAAGCGTTATCGGCGTGTGATGCCTGGCGCGCCGGGTGACCTGCGGTCGGAGCGTGCGGGGTATTTATATATAATTTTTGCAAAACCGTTCAAGGTCCCACTCTGGTTTTTTTTGTACCTATTTACCCCAACTGACCCGAAATATTTTTTTTTTTAATCGTTACTATGAAAAATAATTTTTTCAATTTATTGTAGCTCTTGAAAAACCCTTCAAAAATCATTATTCAAACTTCTAATTTCATTAATTCTACTTATCAATATGTTAAATTGAAAAAAAGACGTTTTCAAAAAAGTCAAAATTTTGAAACGATGTAACTCAAAAAATATTTTATAAAATTCAATAATATTTTATATTTACAATTCCACTAATAATAGTAACATTTTAGCAAAGTTTCGAGAAAATTCAAAAACATTTATTTTTTGACCTGGTCAGTTGAGGAATTTTGCCCCAAATATAACTTAATAAAAGTAAGAAATATTTAAGAATAACAGTAATAGGATTGAAATAATAAAGATAACAATAAATTAATTTGTAACGTATAAATAGATACTTGCGACGTTAGATTTCTTGGGTGTTGGTTCTTACCAACGAAGAGTTGGTAATTCTGTTCATGCTTGTATGAGCCAATCGTCAGTAAGTAATTCGATTCATAACACGATTGATGCACTACAAGTAATAATGGATAGATGGATCGAATTTCCTTCTATTGTTGAAGAAATGCAAGTAGTTAGAAATAGGTATAAATACCATTTTAATATATCAATTAATCTGATTTATTATACATTAAAAAATTTAAGGAGTTGACGTTCACCGAATTAAGGATTAAAAGTTTTTGAATGAAAAATCAACTCCAAAAGAGAGTTAATTTAACAACTCCTTATTTTTATCAATAAGAGTTAAAAGTGGATTCAACTCTATACATTTAACTCTATACGCATTAAATCTCCCACCCTCTAAATTTGAATTAGTTAAAAATTTTAGTTTTAACTGACAATCAGTCACTGACTTTTTGCTTCTGAGTCACTTAAGGATAACTGATTTTCAGATAAAAATAACTGAAAAATTAGTTAAATTTGACTAATTGAAATAGTTAAATCAGCCTACTGAAACATTAGTTATTTTTAATTGATAATCAGTTATTTTTAACCAAAACATATATTTTTTAATTAATTAGATAATAAATAATATAACTATATTTAAATTGATAAAATACATTTACAATAAATTCAATATAATTTGTGTTACATTTATTATAAATGTATGTCCGTTCCAAAGACATCTTATGTCCTAAGAATGTCCTTAGGACATGAGATATCTTTTGGAATTCCTTTGAAAGGACATAGACATCCTAAGGGATGTAGAGGAGAACGGAGCGAGGCAGCCAAGATGGCACATTTTGGTTAGCGAAGCAGTTATTTAAATAAGTTTTTTCAATTTTAATATCGCGTTAGAAAGCTTGTCTTATTGGCTAAAAAATTGGCATAGAACATTTTGACGTAGGTTGCACTTAAAAATTTCTACAACCCTTTTCCCAAAGGACCACATTTTGGCATATTTGAAAAACGTGGGGTGAGGCAGCCAACTATTTTAATAGTTAAAAAAACATAACTTAAAGTTAAAATTAGTAAAACATAACAAGGTAGTTGTCCTTAACTTACTTTTATATTGTTAGTAAACTTCAAAAATTTACATTTGAATAATAGGGGAGAGTCTCCAGTTGTGAGACGGGTTTCATTTTTGACCCGTAAATTGTAAACGGGTAAACGAAATTGTTAATAAAATACACCGTTCGAAAGGTAACAGAAATACGCAACTTTTATTAAAAGAAAGTATAGTGTTTCGATGAACTCAAAAAATTTTACGATACATTTTCCGAGCACATCGCTTTTTTCAAAAAAAAAAATGTCTCCAGTTGTGAGACACTCATTAAAAATTGCTAAAATTTAATAAGTTTGACATAAAACGTTATGTTTAGTAGAAATAATTAAATATATTAATAATATATATTATTATATACTAAATAATAATATTTATTCGCCAAAATATGACTATCAAATAAACACAATTTAATAGCTTCAACAAGAGCATTAAAATTGATTTCTTCTGAATCAATTGACTTTTTTCCACTTGACATGCCCAAAAATACTAGAAAAAAAATCAAAACAACATTTAAATAGTATGCCTGCAAAGTCGTATTTTTTATGCTGCCCAGATGGGTGTTGACACCGTCTCACAACTGGTGATATGCTGTGTCTCACACCCAGAAATTGGCGCTATTTTGGAAAAGGAAAATTAAATTATTTCCAACCGTAGATTGGAACAATGCAATATTGCATCACAAAATATAAGGAAACACTAAAAGAAAATGCATTACATTTACCTTTTCCAATTAATTAACTTGGACAAAAAGTACTTTGCATTTATTGAAAAAACGCTTTTTAGTCGATTATCACACACAGTGTTGGTATTTAACAAAAACAGTTTATATATCCGCTTCGGCGTACACGAAAAAGTTGGCTCATATAAAAAGAAATGTTTTTATATAAACCAATCGGCTTTTTAATATTGCATGTTAAAAAAAATTGACTGTCTCACAACTGGAGGTGTCTCACAACTGGAGACTCTCCCCTATTATAATAATAACATTAATTAAATTCAATTTAACATTTTAAGGGAATATAAATTTGTTATTCTTAAAAAATGGTTTATTAAATTCAATGTTAAGTTTAAAATGTATTGGAGTAGGAAAAAAAGGGAAAACATTTAGAAGAACCAATAAAATCGACACAAAAAGACGAAAAATTTAGTTTTGGCTGTCTAACCCCACGAGTACTTTTTTAAGAAAACATCTACAAAACCCGTAATATTAAAAATATCGCAATTCCATTAACACCATCGTCTTCAGCACTAAATTCTGCATTAAAAATCACTTTACAAGAATTTTATTTGTGTAACTCTATTAACTAAAATCACCAAAATAACTCTTAGAAAAGTTACATCCAAAAGTATGTTTTCATAAATGATACTGTCATTGCTAAACTGCTACAGCAATAATGCCCATCTGTTAGCAACTAAAGTAAACTACCATAAGCAGTCTACATTATCAATAGCGCACGATTTGAAAAAATTATGCAGAAATAAGAAGCAATTGGCTGCCTCGCCCTGTTCTCCTCTACTAAGGACGTCAAAAAGACATCCCACTGGCTGATTAAAGTAGGTACATTGAGAAAGATTCATTTAATTCAAACAATCAGTTTTGTTTAAATTAAGTTTTAAATATCTTTGCTATACTGTTAAACATATTTAATTTTAATTGAAACATATTTTTTGATACACTTAAAGAAAAAATATATTTAATTAAAGCATAATTTATTTTAGTTGATTTTTAATTATTTATAATCAACTTTTAAGTTTGAATCAAACATACAATTTTTAAATATATATTTCGCTCAAACCATAATAGAATATACCTGTTTGAACTATGTAAATATGATTATATAAACAATTAATACTTTTAAATCAAAGCCGTAAATATTTTCCATATATTTGGATTAAACTTACAAACTAATTTCAATTAAACAAAATTATCTAAAATTATTTTTGTGTTTCATTAAAATAATGTTTGGCAGGTATTACATTATATATAACATTGAAACAAAAGTTGTTGGGTTTAAAAATTTATTGATTGTAATACATATATTTAAGCCCAATAACTTTTATTTCAAACAGAACAATACACTAAATAATTTATAAGGTCTCCCAAAATGTTTTTAATCAAATTTAGTTTTTGGTGTATGAGCCGAATAAAAAAATTAGGGTTTTAAAGATAAAAAACAATTTTACTAAACTTGTTTCATTAATAATAAGAAAGATAAGAAAATCACTCCACAATATATTTCACAATAATAAAAACCAATGAAAACTATATTCACTCACACACACGTACATACTTAACGAGTTAATTTCATTGTGAGTTGAAACAAAGGTATTAAACATCAACTTTCTTGCAAGTTAATGCGTCACGTAGGGTACACCGCCTTACTTCTCAAATTAACATTCAATCTAATACTCATTAAAATATAGTACACTGGACGGACGGTCTAGTTAGTACAGATAAACTATTGCACCTCATAATGATGAGGTGCAATACTGAGAAAGGGGGCGCTATATATCTTTTACGTCAAAACATCGTCGATCTAGTGGAATAGACCATTTTCGTATCCACTAGACAAACTCTCCAGTCTTTTTTTGCATTACATAACTTAAAAGCATAATACTTTTACAGAATCAAGTTAAAAATTAAATTTTAAATCATTTTATTTAAGGTGTAAAAATATAATTGTACCAACTAACAATAAATGATAAATATTCTTAAATATAGATTTCTGGATAAGTTCGAGTTTCCGAGTGTTGTTGGAGTAGTCGACGGGACCCACATATGTATTACGCTACCACATGGTGATATTGAGGAAGGATACTTCAATAGGAAGGGATTTCATTCTCTCAATACAATGATAGTACTAAATTTTTTATGTTTTAAAATCATGCTTCAGTTATTATTATTATAATTATTATTATTATTATTATTATTATTATAAATCATATAACAACATGTAGCAGATGCTGATAATAAAATATTAGCTGTGAACGCAAGGTATGGTGGGAGAACAAATGATGCTAGGGTTTATAACAATTCAATTCTTTGCGCTTTCATGGAGCAAAGGTATATGGAAGGAATGAGAGGATTTTGGCTCTTGGGTAGTAAAATTCTAAACTATTTAAAGATCACTTTTAGAACTATTTGATAGATCAATTCTCATACCAAAAATGATTTTTAATATCTACATTACAAACCTATATTTTTTATTTATATTTATAATTAAAACTAAAAACAAAAAACTAAACATAAATTTACAAATTCTAAGCAATGTACAGAAAACAGTCTGATTTTATTTATATAGATATTAATCAACAAATAAAACTTTACCTGACACGTCAAAATCGAGTTTCTAATATCTTCTTTTTTACAATCACTATTTATCGGAAACACTTATCTCTTTTTACGCTTTTTTTTAAATTTCGATCATATTCCCGGTAATATTATCATCAGGTGAACATTCTAATATTACAGTAAAATTACGGGATGCTTGGAGTACTTTGTTTAAATATTATATTATTTTGAATATTTTTAATTTCTTTATATTATGAAATTCAAAATTTAAAAATGTACAATACGTTTTTTGACTTAAATATTATTAAAAATTTTAGCTTTATTTGGATATAAAAATAAACATATAACACAAAGTTAAACTCCACTCAAGCGAGGAATATGTTGCTACTTTAATATTAATTTAATAATAAATATATAAACTAGGAGACTCAGGCTATGGATTGAGTCCCGTACTGATTACACCAATACATAATCCTGAAGAAAATACACCGGAAGCCAGATTTAATTCTAGATTAAAATTTACAAGATCTATCATTGAACAAACAATTGGGATTTTAAAAGCAGTATTCAGATGTTTGCGAAAGGAAAGAGGGTTACATTATGACTCAGAAACTGCAGGTATTAAATTATTGTATAAAGCAATACAATATACCTAAAAATATTCACTTTTCTACGTAAAATATATTGTTTTTTATTAAATAATATAAAAATAAAATTATTTATTTAGAAAAAATAGTAAATGCCAGGTATTCTTCACAATATAAGAAAACATTATCGTTTACCAAACATTGTTGAAGACATCAATAACGATGTTTTGTTTGAAGAGCAAATACCAAATGCAGAAAATCGTCCAGTTAGAGAAGAAGTCAGACAACAAATAATTCGCGAATATTTCACATAAGATTTTCCACCTTGTTTAATAATTTGTATTAGTATCATATTTTCTGTAAATTCGTTTATAATTATGTGCATCGTTTTGAATAATTTAATTAGGATAATTATTTATCCATTTACGTTTCTAATTTAACAAACCAAAAAAGTAACAATAGCTAAGATTGCATCTGAACATTATTATTTTCTTAATTTTACGACAATTCTAACTGTACATTATCTTTTAAAATACTAACTTAAAAAAATTAAACTTATTTTTATACATTACCTTATTAATTTATCTTATAAAGCATTGGTAATTTTTGTGCAGGTGTACATTTAATTCTTTTTTCTCAAATACAACAAACTAAAAAAATACTTACGAATAACTAAGAATTATGCTTTTAATTTATTTTTCGTTCTAAATTCTATTGATCTTAGAAAAAGAAAATTAAGTAATAAATAAATAAAAATAATTTAAAATTAATTAAATTAGAAAAAATTATATTAATTAATTATATTTATCTTTAATAACACTAAAAAACATAGTTTCAAAGTGAGTAACGTACTCTTAGGTGGAGCCACGTTCTCAGAAATAGCAATTTGTTGGTTAATTTTAAAATGTTCTTTATAATTCTTTATAATTTTTCAGTTGACAAATTGTATTGTCTAAATAGTTTTTCCATTAAAAATATCCTCCCACTTAAATATGTGGATGTCCAAAAAAGGTCCCATTTTGTTACTATTTGACTGATCTATTATATGAAGAAATTCTTTGCTTTTGGAAAATTTTGAGTGGTCATAGGGCCATTAGCTCCATAATTGCGATTAGATTAGACACTAGAACCTACAAAAATGGCTATTTATATGCAGATGTTCATAAATAAACAACTTTTGTACAAATTTATATAATAGATGTTTTTGTCGAAATTAAAGATATTTAATGTTATTTACTATTTGATATTAAAAAATGATCATCACATAAAGATGATTAGTTGCTTTAAATTCAATTTTTGAAAATATTACATTGTTAGCAAAAGAATAAAAAATAAAAAGACAATAAATTAAACTTATTTTTTTAAATATTGGGCTATATGAAGTTGTAATTTTATTAGTCATGAATGTTACATTTGTTTTTTGGCTGAAATTTGTTGACTGAAGTTACTATAATCCATCGACTACTCCTATTACACCAAAGAATTCAAATTTTTTTAGAAACCTACGTTTTTAAGAAAAAATTATGTTTTGATGATATACACTACCGGTAAAAATTGAAAGAGCACTTGTAAAAGTGACAATAAAAACATGACATTCTTTGAATGTTGATAACTTCGTTAAATATTAACGTTAAAAAGTTTTTTAAGGCAGTGATAAAGATATTGGTGTAATTTTCGTTTTCAACCAATTTTCATTGTCTAACTTTGATAGGCTGCAACTGTTAGAAAAGTGTATAGAAAATTTTGTTGTTAATTAAAGTGAATATAAACAATAAACAATTGGAAAGTAATGAAATTCTAAGTGTACATTTTATTCTCTTTTTATATATAGGTACTAAAAAAATTTTTAAGAAATTTCTATTTCTTATTGTTACATTGTTATTTTTTAATATAATTTTCAAATTCATGTTTTATTAAACAGTAAATAACCTAAACTTTAATATTAACAAAAAATTAGAGGAGAAATTATTTTACTTATTTAATTAATATTTTGATGTTTACTTCTGTTATGTATTATTGGGTGAAATGTCCATTAATGACTTTTATATAGGGTAAACCAGACAGTAGCCTGGTTTTGAAAACATGATTGGTATAATAGTATTGTCAGACCATAAGGAACAATCACACGTGGAAGAAATTTTAATTGCAATTTTTAAACAGTATTGATTAAAAATATTTTCTTAAGTGGACGACTACTGTCGCTGGTTTACCCAATTTTAACTCTAGATTTTTAAGAAACATTAAAGAAAATCAAATTAATAAATCTTTGATAACAAGATAAATTTGATCTTATTGACACCAGATAGAGGTAGACATCTTATTGAAGATTTTTTTTTTTGCTTAGGGAATTTTGGGAAATCTGCCTACAGATTTAACTGCATTTAATTTTACGATAAATGTTCAAAATTCGAGAATAAAATTATGCGAACGATTAAAAATTTAGATAAAGATAAAAGCCAAAAATTATAAGCATTGTTCAACTGTAAAGAACATTTCGGAAGAGAATATGACAAAATGCACTTTTAATAAAATGTAAATTTTAAGATTGTTTCTAAGAAAATGTTTCATTTTTCGTTATTTTATAATTTTTACAATTCTTTAAAGAAATTATGGCCATCTCCCCCATTCTCTAAATTTGAATTAGTAAAAATGTTTACTAATATGAATTGAGGCCTTGGATCCAATAACTCGCCCGACGCTCGAAGGCACGCGCTAATACCAGTCGGGTAGCAGTGAGTGGCCCAGAGGCGCTCACTGCTCACTGACTGGCAGTTGCGCGTTCCTCCGAGCGTCGGGCGAGTTATTGGATCCAAGGCCTCAATTTATAACTGCCTTTTTCTTTTGAATTAGTAAATTTTACTAATAAATAGTAATATCTAATGAATTTGTAGTAAAATTTACTAATTGAAAAGTAAAAAGTCAGTCAGTAATTCAAATTAGTAAACATTTTTACTAATTCAAATTTAGAGAATGGACATTTTACTTAATCAGTATTTACTTTTATACATATTTATGTATTCTTTATATTTTATAATTAAAATGCTTTTATAAAATTAATTACAGCCTTTTTTGTGTAAAGAATGTATCTTATGAAAAAAATTTCTATCTTTAAATAACCCAAGTAATTCAATTTAATCTGAAATAAAAAATTTGTCCAGAACTACATTAATCATTTGACTAAACAATATTGCGTCAATATTAGTCGGGAATCTTCAGGGAATATTTTCAAGTGGAAATTACTGTAACTGTAATTGTATTGCACCCATACGCCATCGAAATTTTTCTAACGGTTGAAATTAGCTTGACTTCAATCTTAGAAATCTTTAGTTAAGAAGCTCATTAAAGTTGAAGTAATTTTCTTTCAATTTCTACTGTTTTTGCTTTCTTATCAGGAAGCTTTGCATTCGTGATGATTTTTAATTTTTTAAAAAAGGTTATCTGGACTAGTTTTTGTCTAGAATACATGTATATATGAAATTCTGAGCAAATGTTTATTTTTATGACAATTGATGACGCTGTATACAGTTAAATGCATGATAATTGAAAAATATAGCACTTGTTTATTGTTAATATTGACTAATTGATAAATTCATTTCGTACAAAAAATAATCTGACGTGTATAACCATCAATTAGTAATAAATAATAATTTTGATTTTCAAGAGAACATATTAAGTGAGTAAAATATTTAAAAAGTATTTTATTTCTTAAATTTATAATTGACAGAAACACAGTTTTTCTTAAATTTAATTGCAATTACTATTTTCTATTTACATATCGAATTATATTACAAAAGGAATGTCGACTGACGTGTCTAATTCGCAACGCGAAATAATGTTACGATTCATGTCGAACAATCGAAGTTTTGCCATTAGCGAAAAAGTGAAAATTATTCTTTCTAATCAGGTTTGTTTGATATATTTAATTTCAACTAACGTACATAATTTCTTTAAATGCATTTTTAACTTAATACTCAAATAAAATTGAATGTCATAAAATTTTTAAAATTATTACTGTGAAAGATTTATAAATAAATAGTATAGTAAAATTTGAGAACATATATTGAGATTTAAAAATTAAAAAATAATAGTCTAATAGTCGATGAATTATTTTATTTAGAAGAAATTGTGGAACATTCTGACTACGATTCTAAACATGGAATTAAATGGTCAAATAAATACAATGGATTCATGGATGAAGGTAATAATTATATTGGAATAAATAACTTAATTTGAAAAATTGCTATGAGAGTAGATGCCTATAAAAGAAATCAATTTTATAAAATTTCTTTCCTTATAAAAATTAAAAAAAATTGAAATGTTTAAATTCTTTAAATAATATTTTAGACTTGGAACAAATGGAAGTGAGATATAAAAATAAAAATGCGGGATGCGAAGAAAAATCTAGAGGCAACAGGGGGAGGATCACCGATTCTAATCGAATATGATTATTTAGACAATCAAGTGATCACGCTTCTCTCCAATGATAAAAAGTTCAGTTTGGCACTCATATTCATTGTCTATTTACCTGCTTAAATATAGTTATGAGTTAAGAGGCTTTAAAATTAAAAAATTAAATTATTATTATTATTATTATAGTTGCGATTTGGTCCTTCCAAAACCGAAGCAATGGGAAGTTAAAGCTTTGAATCAATTAATGATAAATGAAAATTTAATTAAAAAGAACAGCTTGACGGAAGGCAAAAGAGTAAGTTAAACTTAAAAAAATGTTTTTCGAATATTTAAACATTTTAATTGAATGAACTTAACTAAAAATAAATTTTTAATATGTTTAATTTGAAGAAAATAATTATTAGGGAAAAAAGTATTAATTACACAGCCCCACAAAAAAAGAAAAGTACCCTGCGCGAAAGCCCACAGTACCATGCCCCTATGTATTTTGATGCGCTAAACACGAATCCGAAGTCAGATTTGCTCCATCACGTCAGGATTTTTTTCTAACCTCAAAAAACATGTCAGATTTTATGTAATTTATGTAAAATACAAAACTTTTTAAAAATTGATTAGATTTGTCTCAAACTTGTTTCTTGGGGGTTTTTAAGATCGCTGATTACGAATCTGCAGTCAGTTTTTAAAAATTCAAAATGGCGGATCCAATATGGCGGCCAAAATTTAAAAATTTGGTGGATTTTCACTTTACTTGGTATATAGGGGTTTTCGGGGTCGCTTATTACAGATTTGCAGTCAGATGTTAAAAATTCAATATGGCGGATCCAATATGGCGGTCATTTTTTTGAAAATTGATTTATTTTGCTTTAAAATGGGTACTCAGTGGTTTTTCGGATCACTGATAACAAATCTTCAATTAGATTTTGAAAAATCAATATGTCCGTTTGAAAATAATGTAATTTTTATTTATGTCTGTTTATGGTAACGGACTCGTTTAGCTTCGAAAGACCTGTGCAGTAGTTTTCTTTTTAAGTTTACTCTTCCTGGAACAATATCCCTTTTTAGCATCCAACAATAGTCAGCCATCATATTTACGTCCCATCTGCCTTGATATCTGCTCTCCATTTCATTAATATCTTGATGAAACCGTTCTCCCTGTTCCTCGCTGTAGTCTCCTTAATTTTTGGGAAAGTAACTCAGATGTGAATGTAGGAAATGGAGCTTCAAACTCATCAAGCATCCCAATTTTTGAAAGTTTTTGATCATACCATTCACTATTAGATCCCAATTCTCGCTCTTATGGTTGCCAAGAAAGTTTTCAATAACTCCCTTAAAACTAAGCCAAATGCAGCTTTCTCTTTTTTACTCATTACTGTGATAAATTTTTCATCTTTTACTAGTTTGCGAATTCGAGGCCCAACAAAAATTCCTTCCTTTAATTTAGCATCAGATATCTCTGGAAATTTTTGTTCCAGGTACTTGAAACATTTCCCTTCTTTATCTAAAGACTTTACAAACTGTTTCATTACCCCTAGTTTAATATGTAAAGGTGGTGGAATTACCTTTGTAGGATCAACTAGAGGTTTTTTTATTTAATATTTTTGGAACCTGGTGTAAAGGATGTTCTTTTGGTCTACTGATCTCTACTGTCCCACAAACATAATAAGCAAGGTGTTTTCGTAAAACCTGCTTGTTGGCCCAACATGATACTTATAATTTTAAAATCTCCACAAATTTGCCAATTGTGTTCTTTATATTTAATTTTCTCCAAAACTAATTTGACAGTTTCATAATCTTCCTTAAGTTCAGTGGAATGGGCTACGGGAATTGAAGCAAAAACATTAGTGTTATGAATTAGCACTGCCTTTAGACTTCTTTTAGAAGAGTCAATGAATAACGTCTAGTCTTATGTTGATCTTCATATATGTTTGGTTTCAATTCATTTATTAGTCCTTCGATGTCAGAACAATATACTAATGAAAGCTCATCGTCTTTTGTAAAATATTTCCGAAATTCCTTTTCTCTGTCACGATAAAAGTAAGCTGTGGTGCCTTTAGATAACAAATTTTTCTTTTTTAAAACTAAAGCTAGATATCTAGCTGCACATTCTATTTTTGCATTTTTCTATCTAGCTGATATTCTGCTCCATTTTTGGGTAATTTCAAATCTCTGATGAGGTTGCTAAGCTCTTCTTGCGTAAAGCCTTCTTTAATCTTTTCTTCCTGATAACCATCTGGAATATAAATATCATCATTGTCTTCTACAATATTACTAACCGCATTACTTATATCGGAAAGTACATACTCTAATGGTGAACTGTCGATTTCCATATTTGCAGAAGAAAGAGTTAAATGACTTAAAATTTCGGGTTTTTTCACAGATACTACACATGCGTAAATTATATTCTTTTCATTATTTATTATAGCCTTTTACATTGGTCATGCAAAAGTAGCAATCTTCTCGATTCAATGGTTTTTTCCACAATGTTGGTTTTTTAAACTTCAGGTGTTTATCCTCTTTCGTATCATTCCAACGAGTTAACATTGTGTAGCAGGAACTGCAGATTGTATTTGGAACCCATTTTTCATTCTGATTGACTATCTCAAAATCAAAACAATCTTTGTAAATTTGTTTAATGTTTTCATTGATTAATTTGCGATTTTTCGGGATATAAAATTGTCCGCATACGTAACAAAATACATCTGCTTTGCTGTCACATGTATGTTGTGAGGTTGACACTCCAAAAAGAACTTTTGAAGCGTTTGAAGTTTTTTTATTGTTTTGATTTTTGAAAGCCATGATATTTAGGAAAATGCCCGCACGCTAGGGATCCTGGTCCGATCGCAGGCGAGTCCACCGTCCTAGGGGTGATAACCCTCATACCTCCCTAGGCCTACGTATGAGAGCTTTCCGACTTTGAGGAGGACATTATCAACTCGTCGCCGGACACACTACGGTATCATCCTCACACCCTAACGTCCCCCTGCAAGGCAGCGCGCCTTCGCTGGCTTCGTTACTTCGATAGACAGGAAGCAAATCATTCTACACATCCCATTTCGGGGCAGTTGTCGTCGCCTACTACATCTATCGAAGCAGCAGGATTAATAGACCTTTTCATTTAAGGAATCTGTACTGCACAAGCGCGGAGTATATATATAACTTCCAACAAAGTTTCGAGCACTTTTTGTACAAAATGCACAGTTCCAATAGTGAAAAGTAATTAAAAAATATTACTAATAAATGTAGAAAAAAAATTAGCGTGTATTAAAAATGAGCAGTATCCCTGAGAAAAATAATCCACAAAGGAAAAAAATTGATGCAAAAAAAAAATATTGTTTTGGGAATTGCAAAAGTGATGCTCGTTGCAAGTCTTATTTGACTGAAAATTATTACTTTATTTCTTTCCCAAAACCGTTTAACATTTAGAAAATGAAATATTAGGAATGAAAATATTCGAAGTAATTGCAGAACTTGTCAAGTATATCGAAAATGAGACCTTTGGGTAAGGTTATGTTCATAACATAACATAACCTTATTTACATGTAAACAATATAGACTTTTTTACCCTTTAAACACTGACTTCGGCTTTATAACCATATTTTTAATTGACAGCTACAGTATTTTTCTCTACCTGTTCAAACATTAATTTAGATTCTGGAATATCATTTTCATCGAGTTTTTTATTTGAATTGTTATTAGCACAATATACATTCTGACACAAAGTTGCTCGAAAATTTTGAAATCGCGCCGTCTGTCATGGCGTAGCTTCAACTTCCGGTCTTAAATGAAAAGGTCTATATTGTGCCAAAACACAATGGAAATACAATACAGTATTATGTCCTAGCAGGCCTGCGTTCAAGAGAAAAGTATTCTGCAATTGTTGAATTGAACTTCCTCCAGAAATTATGCCTAATTCTCTAGAAATGTTCCTAGATGTCGTCTCGATAAATACATTTTAATTTAGGCATTCAGGTTACCAAGAATCTGCATTTCCTGCTGCATAAATGTTTACCAACAAACTTTTCGAAACTTTTAAATTCACCGACTCCCAAAATGCTTGCATATCAAGTCATATTGAACCAGTTGTTAGAAATTTTTAAAGTCTGATTTGAAATTTGTGATCAGCGATCCGAAAAACCAGTGAGTACCCATTTTAAAGCAAAAGAAATCAATTTTCGAAAAAATGACCGCCATATTGAATTTTTAAAATCTGACTGCAAATTTGTAATCAGCGACCCCGAAAACCCCTATATACCAAGTAAAGTGAAAATCCACCAAATTTTTAAATTTTGGCGGCCATATTGGATCCGCTATTTTGAATTTTTAAAAACTGACTGCAGATTCGTAATCAGCGATCTTAAAAACCCCCGAAAAACAAGTTTGAGAAAAATCTAATCAATTTTTAAAAAATTTTGTATTTTACATAAATTACATAAAATCTGACATGTTTTTTGAGGTTAGAAAAAAATCCTGACGTGATGGAGCAAATCTGACTTTGGATTCGTTTTCAGCGCATCAAAATACATAGGGGTATGGTACTGTGGACTTTCGCGCAGGGTACTTTTCTTTTTTTGTGGGGCTGTGTTATTATGCATTACATTAATAATCAAATTAAAATTATTTATTTCTTAACAGACTGTGAACCCTACTGAGCAAAATAAGATAAAAGAGACTAGAAAATGTAATAAGCCAGATGAGGTAGATGAGAAAATTAATGTATTAGAATCAGAAGATGAAGACGTAATTGTTATCGAAGATGATGGTAGGGAAAAATCTTTAAAGCTACAAGTATACAATGATAAAAATCAAAATAATTCTGATGATTTGAATTTATTGAAAGAATTTTAATTAACCTATAATCAACCAAGCCAATAAAAAAAACACCAACTGCTTTAAAACGAAGTAAATTTGTATTATTATTTTTAGAGTTGCGGAAAAAGTTTGAAACTAAGTAGAGTAAATAAATGTTTTTCGTGATATTTGATTATTTTTAGAATTTAAAGCTATTCGTTTCTGTAATTATTTTGTTCTTATAAATTATTATTCGGTAAATTAGACACGTAAATAAAACGCGTACTTCATTATTAATATCTATAGCTTCTGAATATGGTCGACGCAAGTAAGGTCGAATTCAAATTTTCTCGAAGTATAAAGTCTTAAAAAATTTTAAATTTTTGATATACCAAAAAAGCATAGCTTAAAAAAGGATCCGACATTAATTTTTGAACGTTTTCGAATTTCTAATTTTTATCCTTCACTGGTTAGAAAATTTACTATTGTTAAATAATTTTTCTTAGTGCATAAATCAATGTTGTTATTTACTTACTATTCTTATATAATTTACCTTAAAACGTTTAATGTTTTCTCATTTTCCAATTTATTAAGCTGAGTATCATACAATAAAAATTAAATGAAATCATCAGTATTATTTTTAAAGGTTTAAATTTTTGTTTTGTAGTTTTGTCATTTATATTATTGTTCTTTCCAATTATAACAAATCGATACTCATTCCCACTATGCCAAATATTTGACATGCATTCTAAGCTCTAAATGTATTAATAAATTTAATAAACGTTAAAGTTTCTTTTAAGTTTACTTGTTATCTATACATTTTCAAAAATAATAGTAAGTAGAGCAAAATGGTGTTCAGTTTTGTTTAGATTTCGATTGCAATTTTTATTTCCACATATAAATATTATAAAATGATAAGTTCCCTGCTTGATCACTAAAATTTGGCAAGAGGAAAACTTAATGATGGAAATGATTATAAGAAGAAGATGGTGATAATCTCAAACAAGAAGAAATAACTAAAAACGATTTAAAATTAAATTCGAAAATTATTTTGCATTTATATCAATTTTCTTATTCTTACTACTTTTTTATTATTTATTACTATTATCATTATTACTACTATTATTTATTGTTGTTTTCATTGAGTCATTATGTATTTTTATTATTTTTTATTTATTGAATTAATCATGTAAATGATTCTAACAAAAAAATGGTGATTTAACCAATTTTGGAATTGAAAGGAGTAATTGAAAATTATTTGAAAATATAGTTAAAAAAAAAATCCCTGGTAGATTTGTTACGACCCGAGCTAAGGTTTAGATTAGTTTACTAATTTATTAGTAAAATAGAGACAAGTTGCTGATTAGTCAAGTTGGTAAGACCTGACGTTTATTTTTAGTGTGGATTCGTTTTGACTTTAAAAGAACTACGGGTCCTCGTTAAATAATGTATACATATTCCTTTTTATGTGATTGTTTATTTATAATGTTTAGTTTAAACAATTACAGTTACTTACAATTTTTGAGATTTTGTTGATGATGAGATTACAATAATGTGACTACAACCAGGCTTGCGTCACCGTAGTACAAGTAGTATGTAGTTATAAGTTTTTAGTTCGTATTTTAGCACTTTTAGCACTAAAACGACTATTTCGATAGCTCTTTTCACAAACTCTAATTGTTCTTTCTGACACTGTACCTTGATACCAAAAGAAAACTTATCTTCTTAGTAATCGGAAAGAACTTGCACTAATTTTATTAAATTAGAAAGAGAATAGTAAAATTGAACTATTATACGACGAAAGTAATTATATAAATTAAGAATAGTGCCAGTTATTTCCTTACAGAAAACAAATATTCTTTTGATGTTTAACACTGATTCTAAAACTCAATATTACAATCGAAGGGCCGACTCGACGATACCGTTCGGGCAGAAACACACCGGAGTATTTGACATTTGACTGTAGAAAACAGGGGTTTATATTTAATAAACCCCTAGATAATAGTCTACTTGACTGGGGATGAGACGGTTAAAAGGCACGTATCCGTGCTAAAATGTATAAAGCACGTACTCTTGCTAAAATGTATAAAGAACGTACCCTTGCTAAAATGTATAAAACACGTATGAGTTGGATCATTTTTCTTATATGTGAATTATTCGATCTTAAGTAATGTGACACTCGCTTTTTACAACAATTTACTACAATTTTTATATAATTAGTCATCTTTTCATATATTCATTCTTATAATTTTAAATCTAAGACTCTAGTGTCTAAATTAAGAACTTTCTTATGCTTGCACTACTTATCATCGTTTATGATAAGCAAGCGACAACCGATTAGTTACCACGAGTGCAGATAATGAACCGACCGTCGCCCACTTATCACACAAGTCTAGATCACGTTCGATTTTAATTTCAATTGTCGTAGATGATAACTCTTTTACGCAAGTTTACTAGTTTATCGTGCAGGGTTTCTTCGCTTGTTATATGTGTATATACATATATACACATATATATTGTTTATATGTCTTGTGTTAGATTTTTATTATATTTATTTTAACTACATATATATATATATATATATATATGCATACATATACACACACGCAAACATATACACATGTTTTATTTGTCATTATTATATTATTTATTATTATTGGTTTTGTCTTTAATAAGAAGTTATATCTGGGGATGTAACAGTCCTCCCCCCTTAAAACAATTATCGCCCCGATAATTCGCTAGCCTAAAATTTTTAATTAATTAATTTATTTTTTTATTGATGTTAACAATAATTTCTAAATTTGTACAAATAATGACATATTCATAAATAGAGTATACTATTTTTATGTTTATAATATAATTGGAAATGTGCTTGTGTAGTGCTTATTCTAGATACGTGTTGTGTAATTTATCTGTTCTTCTGAGGTAAGTGGTTTGTGATCCTTCATGAACTTTGTCTTCTTTCTCCTAGATGTTGGCGAAAATTTTTTTTTTTATTTGTCACGTAGTCACAATGCTTAAATGATTCTCTAAGGGATATTCAGTTTAGTTTATACTGGTTGTTGTAATGGAGAGTGAGTATTCTTCTTCAGCCTCTACGATTATTTACGAAGATCGTCGACAGGAAATCGTTTCTTCTACTATGGAGAGTGCAGCTTGTTCTTCTGGTGAGCATTACCCATTTGTTAATGTAACTGTGAGGTTGTTAAAAATTTTTTTTTTTTTAAAATGGACACTGAAAATGATATTGATTTGGGTGATAATTATCTTTCTGAATTCGTACATAGTGAATCCGTTCAAAATTTTGATTTATCTTTATTAGAATTTAATCAAAGTCAAACAGAACCAGTTAATAGTCAATTAACAAAGTTGACAGGGATTTTGTTTAGACTTCGTCGTGTTGAAGAGCGACTGGGGTTATTTTATTTTGCATTTTGGAAAGTAAAATTAAATAGTGCCGTGCAGACTTTGGTCACTTTGTGTAACGACAGATTTCAGTGGGAGGTATCGGACAAAGATTTTGAAGTCGTCCAGCCCTTAGATAACCGACGGGCGGGTGCTTTAATTAAAGTGTCGTCGATTGATTTAAGAAACTTGATTTTAAACAATAAGCAATTGTTTTTACGTGAAGGGTTTAACGTGGATCACGAATGATCGATTTATTTTATTGTTTAAAATACTGTTGTTGTTTTGTAGGGGAAAATAGGAGAATTCCAGACAACTCTAGTTTGCAGGAGTTTTTAAACAAAATTATGATGTCAACTGTTTCTATTATTCACGATCTGCAGTTGAGTCATGGTGTGAGTCGTCGGGAGGAAATTGAGAGTAACACCAAAGGAAAGAGAGGTCGTCCACGGAAAAATTCAAACTATATTTCTATTCCGGATATGAAGGCAATAAGAAAATATCAATTGCAACGATTCAGAACTGCTTCTATTCGTGAAGCTCGAGAAATGTATGGCACAAATTTTGGAATTCATGGAAACTATTAATAATTCTGATGTAGGGTCTTCTTTTATGTCTCAGTTTCCTGATGTCGAAAGGTGAGTTATTCCTTCTTGTTTACATAGAATTTATTTCGTTATTGTTATGTCAATTTGTTTTAATTCTACTATCATTGTTTTAGTGATGATGATGCTGGTTCAACTTCTTGTACTTGCGGGCTGATGCCACAACACTGTCTGTGTTCGATGCTTGTTTTAAAAAATTTTGTTAAGAATGAAGAAGCTGATTTGGAGTAGTTCGACTCAGTTGGCTTATTTTTCAATTACGTATTCAAAATTTTTAAGTATATACAATTATTCATTTGTATGTGTACCTATGTGACAATGTATATGATTGTATTACAATTTTTAATATAGTGTTTATTATGTCATTCCCTAATTTATTGCCCATTTAAATTATTGTTTTAACACAATTTTTTAATAAACAAAAATATTGATAAATATGTTTTTATTTATTTATTTATTTTATTTTTATTAAAAATTTTTTAATAATTAAATTTGAATGAAAACGAATTGCATGGTTATAAATTGCTATTTTAGTGACGCATGCTGTAACATTCTGTAAGTCATTTTTATGTTGAAACCATGGAGTAGTATAAGGAGACGAACGCCTGTGATGAATCCGCGTCAAACGTGGCCGCATTTTTCATAACAGTGATTCCTCTAGGCTCACTTACATCGATAGAAGAGCCTCTCGCGGAGGAGAAGATCATTATATTTAAAAACAAAATAAGACATGACATAACCTCTAATTTTGTTTATAAAAGTGATTGTTAGTTCAGTGAAGCATGTAAAAAATAAATTGTGAGTGAAAATGCCTGCTGCTGTCTGTGTAGTGAAAAATTGCAATTCTTCTCTCTTAATTATAGAGGGAATTTTAGTAACAATTAAGTTATGTATATAAACATTACTAATCGCAACAATTCTCACATATACTTACTTATTTATCTCTTTTCACTTCCAACCGAGCACTTTCAAAATTAATATTGAATAAATAATAATATATTATAATTATAAGATAATTATTAATGATAATTGTCAACTATTTCCAAACAACACTAACCTATAAAAATACCAACTGCACTGTACAATAACAATTAGCAGACGATTATTAGTGACATTTTTCCCCGTTGGGGGCGCTTCTATCGATGTAAGTGAGCCCAGAGGAAACACGGTAATGAAAAGTGCGGCCACTTTGCGTGAGTGGCGTTCGGTCTCCTTATACTACTCCATGGTTGAAACGAGGCTTAATAATTTCAATCTAAACATTGCGCTTGACAAGGTATCGATTTAGACAGGTTTTCAATAGTTACATACTTTAGTTTGAATATGTGGCGCTAAAATCGCATTAGGCTGTGTTCATGAGTCGAATGCGTGGCTGCGTGAGAGTGTCATTATATGCAAGACAAAGAGAGTTGAATAGCACGCATTGTATGGTTTCTCGCGCTAGAAGGATCGATAGTTACGTTCGATAAACGGATGACATCAAGACTGTTGTTATTGGTATTTTGCTGTGAATGGAAAATGTATGTTTGTAGATTTTTGAAATTATTGCAGGTAGTCCTTCTTCCTTGAGCTTCCAATATATTCAGTGGTCGAATTATATATGAGAAGGATTATTCGATCGACGTCTCCTCATCGATATTACCTTATAGCAAATGTATAAGTTTTTTATAACTATTATTGCTAATAATAATAGTAGTAACTTAAAGGCGACAGAAATGTAGTCCATTGCTTCGGAAATAGATCCAAGGATTGGAATATTCATCTGTGGAAATAAATTTAGTTAATATTTTATTTTCGAATTAAGAACTATGAATAGGGAATTTTGATTTTTAGTTTTCTAGGAAATTTCAATTGTTTATGGTTACAATTGATTTAAGAGTATTTATTTGTTGATTATATTGGATTTAATATTAATTATTGTTGTAATATTAATTAATTAACTGGTTTATAATAATGAGTTTAAATATTTAGTATTGAATATACATACAACTGAACAAGGATCTCGAGTGATATATCGATCGATATCCGTTGTTATGTTAATAATGTTTTTATAGAATTAAATTAATTAATTGTATTATTTATTAATTAGAGGTTTGTTTGTTTATAATAAAATATAATTCTCATGAATTTGACTTTAATTTGATGTATTTTATTATTTTTGTTAATGCTTGTATCGATGTAAGTATCGATTGATATCTCGATGTGCGATAGTATAAGGTTATTTTTATTTTGGTTATTTTATGAATTTTGTTTTTTTTAATATTCTTTCTTTTATGTATTTTTTGTTATTAATTGTTATTGTTATATTAATTAAATGGTTTTTAATAGTTATTTTTATTATTTTATGCTATCTATACATACAACTGTACAAGAATGCCGATCGATACTTGTTATAATATTGTTAACAGTTTGGATATAATTAAATTAATTAATTATATTCTATTTGTTAAATAGTAATTGCTTTAATTATATTCATGATTTTGCATGTAATTTAATGTATTTGTCCTTTCTGTAGAGCATATATCGATGTTGTTATCGATCGATATATCGAAGTGCGATATGACGTATAAAGGTTGTTTTTACCTTTATTGAGTTAGTAATTTATAATGAATTTGGTTTTTATATTATTTATTTCTGATTTTAATATAAAATTTGTTAATTATTAATATTTTGTTAAATTAATTTTTTGAGAAAATTTTTAAAGTAAAGAGGAAAGAAGAAGGCGACCACCAAGTCCCCTTCCTTCGTTTTCTCTCGTCTTTCTTTTAATAATTTTATTTTTATTTATTTATTCATTTAATCAATACATCATAGTTTTTATTTGTTTATAATAATATGAGTATAGTGTTATTATTTATTTTTATTTAGATATATATGTATATATGTTTTTGATTATTTGTTATATAGTATTAAAATTATTTGCCATTCTTTATTATAATTTTTTTTTGTTAATTGAAAAAGGCTTCTGGAGAATCCCAGTTTTCAATATTACTTTGTGTGTTAGTTTGAGTTTCAATTGACATTCCAATTGGTGTTTCGATTGGTTTTCCTGGGATTTCCCAAAAGTCTAATTTGGTAGTGTCTCTGATTGATTGGGGAATCAATCTTTTATTTCTTAGTGGGCGAAAGCAATTATTTTTAATATGTCCTCTCATGTAGCAAATTTCGCAACAATTGGTCCATTTATATAATTTTATTTTTAATTGTGTGGGTTCTTCTTGGATCATTACATAAGTTACACCTTTATAATCGGCTTGCTTTTCTTCCTCACTAAAATGATAAGTTTTGTCTAATAATTTTAATAATTTTCTAGCTGTGGTATGCTCTCCATCTTTAATTTTTCTTTCATCTCTACTTCTAGCTATGAATATGTTATCATGGGTTAAGTCTTTAACGATGCATTTTATCTCATATTTTCTATCATTTGGGGGGTCTGTTACTTGTTCTACAGTGAATTTAGGTTTAGTTAAGTTGTATTCAGCTGTAAGTTCTTCTAGAATCCCTTTTGGAAATTCTATAGAGTCAATGTTTCTTTTTGGGAATACATTAATAACGATGAGTTCTCCGTTTAAAGAAGGTGTTCTGAGTACCATTTCCGCCATCTATAATACAGAAAATAATGTTATTATTTTTATTCATAAGCAAGTTTTAACTTATCTATATGTTTTTGAAACCTTTGACCTTCATTTGTAATTAAAATTGCGGTATGCTTGTCTAAGAGGTCCACAATTTCGTATGGTCCATGGTAATATGGTTCGAATTTGTTTTTCTTAACTTCTCTTAGGACGTAAGCCTTATATTAAGCCTCCTATTTTTCCTAGAAAGGGTTTTACCTTTTTGTCGTAGTTTTGTTTGGACTTAATTTTTGACTGCATAAGGTTTTTCGCGGCCAATGTTTTTATTTCTGTCAGCCTTGATATTAATTCTATTAAGTATGAACCGTAAGTTTCGAGTTTTTCTTCTGAAGGAAATGAAGTAGGGGTTCTTGCTGTTTTCCCGAAAATTAATTCGAAAGGAGTGAAATTTGTTGCTTCATGAACAGATGTGTTATAAGCAAACATACAAAAGGGTAGTAATTTGTCTTAATCGTCGTAGTTTTCAGAATATTGTTTTAGAAAATCTACAAGAACTATGTGGCTTCTTTCTAAGCTGCCGTTTGTTTGAGGTCTGTATCCTGAAGTTGTAACTTGTTGAACTCCAAAGATCTTAGATAGTTTTCTCATAAGTTTACTTATGAATCCTTCTCCTTTATCAGTTAAAATTGTTTTAGGAGCTCCGTATTTGGAGTATAATTCTGTAGCTACAGCATGTGCTATTGTTGTAGTTGAAACATCAGGGATTGCTACTGCAATACAATATTATGATAAATGGTCTTGCATGGTAAGTATATGGCAATTACCATCAGGAGTCGTAAGAAGTTTTCCTACTGTATCCAAGGATAAGTATCCTTATCAAATTATTATTATTATTATTACTTTATCAAAGGCTTCCAGTGGAGTGTCCTTAATTAGCATTGGATCTCTTGTTTTTACTCGAACAAGTTTTTGTTCTTGGCAAGTTGGACATTTTCTTATGAATTCAGTTACTTGGTCCTTGAGACCAGTCCAGAAGAACTTTTCACGTATTCTTCGATAGGTTTTTGTGACTCCTTTATCTCTAGGTGTTACTTCTTTTTCCGTTAACCAATCTTCGTGTTGAGCCATCGATTCATCAAATTGGGCTATTGATTTTTCTAATTCTTTTGCTATTTCTTTCCTTGTTTTTGGAATTTGTTGTTCTTCTTCTTCTTCTTCTAAACTATCTTCGCTTCCACTTAAAGGTGGGCTAACTATTTTCACTACTTCTTTACTTGTTGTTGGTTCTGTAATAAATTCATATTGTTCGAAAGGTGCAGTAGGGGGTGCGCTTTTTGGTGCATATGGATCATAAAGAGGTGTAGGTGTGACCAAAGTAGGTAGGACACTTGTGCTCTTTTTACGTATAGGTGGTTGTTCTCTTACATCGGAATCAGAGCTTGAGGATGCATCTTCCGTGAATTTTGTTTTCAAAGGGCGGGGTTGTAGTTTATTTCGTTGAGCGACGCGTTGTCCAATTGTGCTTTTCTCTAATAATTTTGTATTTGTGGCTATTTTCTTTGTAGGTTTCATAATGCTTTTAATTTTTGTTGGTTGTTTGAGAGTTCTTTCTTTTTGTGTTGAAGTACTAGCATCTCCAGAACTTGTGGATGGAGCTGCAGGTTTAGGATTTGTAGATTGTCTTGTGTTTACAAGGATTCGTGCCTGTTCTTTTGTATTTGATTCTTCTATTGTAGTTTTAATGGGATATCTTGATAGGGCGTCTGCATTATGATTTAATTTTCCTGGTTTGTACTTATATTCGTACTCGTAATCTCGTAGTTTCAATCTCCATCGAACTAATCGTTGTCCCGGATCTTTAATTGAATTAATCCATTTTAGTGGTTCATGATCACTAACCAATGTAAACTTTTTGCCGTAAATATATGGTCTAAAATGATTAACTGCATAAAGAACAGCTAAACATTCTTTTTTGGTGGTAGAATAATTCTGTTCAGGTGCATTTAGTACTCGTGAAAGGTATGCTATAGGTAGATCAATTCTATCCTTATCTTGACTAAGAACGGCACCTATTGCGAAATCTGATGGATCTGTTGTTATTGTGAACATTTTGTTGTAATCAGGATATTGAAGTATAGGGCTCTTACATAACATTAATCTAAGTTCCTTAAAACTTTTATCTTTTTCTGGTCCCCATTCAAATTTTACATTCTTTTTCAATAGATTTGAAAGAGGTTTTGCCTTTGCTGAGAAGTCTTTTATGAATCTTCGATAATAACCCGCAAGACCTAGAAATTGTTTTACATTTCTGGGTGTCTTTGGTGTAGGAAATTGTTCTACTGCTTCTATCTTTTTAGGATTGGGCTTTACACCATCGCTACTAATTATGTGTCCCAAATATGCTACTTCTCTACATAGGAATTCGCATTTTTCAGGTTGTAATGTTAAATTTGCGCCTTTTAATCTTTCTAATAATCGTTTTACTTTTGTACCATGTTCTTTTAAAGTTTCTGCGTAAATTACTATGTCATCTAGGTAAACAAATAGTTCTACACCTTGTAGTCTGAGTAAGACTTGGTCCATTAATCTTTGAAATGTTGCTGGTGAATTTTTTAATCCCATCGGCATTCGTACGTATTAGTAATGTCTGTGTACTGTTGAAAATGCTGTTTTCTGTCTATCTTCAGGATCTAGTTCTATTTGATGGAATCCACTTGCTAAATCAAAAACTGAGAAATACTGAGCTTGGCCCAAGGAATCGATTACACTTGTAATATGAGGCAAGGGGTAAAAGTCACCAACTGTTTTATCATTAAGGGCTCTGAAATCTATGACTATTCTTCATTTTTTATTTCCCGTAGCATCGATTTTCTTGGGTATGATCAGTAATGGTGAATTGTAAGGTGACGCAGAAAGTTTTATTGCTCCTTCTGAATTCATTCGATCGATGACCTTGTCTATTTCTTCTTTTTGGGCAGGAGAAAATCTATAAGGTCTGGTATGGATTGGAATTTCGTCTACGGTTATAATTTTGTGTTGTACTTTATTGGTTGGTTTTAAAGGTTCTCCTGTTAAGTGAAAACTTTCAGGAAACTCTCTTACTATGTCTTTGACATGTTCTTGTTCTTCCGCGTTTAAATGATCTAATCTTAGATTATCAATAATAGCCGCAATGCGATCTATTGGTTCTTCATATTCTTCATCTGATGAGTCTTCATCTATTTCTTCGCCTGGTAATGGATAATATTCAAAAGGTATGAGCTCTTGGGGTGGAACATCTATTTCCACGTCCTCTACTGTGGTATTTATTGCAAAAATGTGGCACAATCCATTATTGTTGCTTACTATACCTTCTCCTATTATTAGACTTTCTTCTGTTTTTATTAATGGTAAGTAACCTTCCTTTACCTCTTTATTTGATACTTCTATTGGTATTACTTGTCGGTCTCTGCCTTTGATAGTTAATCCTCTTCTTTTGTTTTCTTTATTTTCCACTAAATTTTCTCTGCACATGATAGATTCAACGTCTTGAAAAAATATGGGATTTATTGGATTTGTGTGAGTAACAATAGAATTATGCCAAAAGGAAATTTCGGCCTTTTCTTGTCCTATTTATTCTCGTCCTAATATGCCATCAGAATGTAAAGGAAATTCCGAAGACACTACTTGAAAGGTAATAGGTTTTTTATTTACATTAACTTGAACTGTTCCAAGTGTGGGTATTTTTACAGGGGCTATTCCTTTAAGTTGAATGGCTTCGTTTATTGTTACGTTCAATTCTGGTTGTAAAATATCCAACTTTATTAAATTTACGTCGGCACCAGTGTCTACTAATAGTGATGCCTTTGAATTTAAGAAATCTGGGGATTTTAAAATTATTACTGGGGATTCTTTGCTGCATTGTGCTTGCAGGATTGTTCTTGTTTTTGTAGTATCCTTACAGTTGCTTGACGCTCTTGTTTTTCCTGACTCGTCGTCGCGTCTGTCCGTCGAGCTGGATAAGAGTTTAAATGTTTTTCATTAGAAGGGGCTGGTGATTGAGCGCGTGGGGGCGTTTTAGAGCCTCCATATGAGTTATTGCTATGTCCATCCAATCTTTGTGGTTGTTGATAAAAATGATAAGGATTATAAGGCATGAAAGGTGGTTGATTAATTTAAGTAGGATAATAAGGATAGGGTGGGTAAAATCCAGCAATTGGTTGTTGAGGTTGAGGTAAGACCTGTTTTTTTAAAATGCCTATAGGAGTATGAGAACGTGGTTTCATAGGTTCATCTTCAGAGTTGAAACGTACTCTAGGGCTGGGACTCCTATTTCTTACCTCAAAATTAGTGTTATAATTTTTATTTTCGCTCGGCTGCTGATACCTTGAGACATGATAAGCATGATTGTAGTTATCTGTTTGATGTTGGTGTCTAATTTCGTATTGTAATGCGATGTCTACCGCATCACTCAATTTGTCGCTTTTACGAGCTTCTATTAAGCTAGAAATTGCATCAGGAACACCGTTAATGAAGGCTTCTAAAGCACAATCGTCTAAAGGTTCTAACATGTTTTTCATTTTCGTTTCTCCGTATGAACTAAGTAATGCAGCCTTTGCTCCGGCTACTAAAAGTGTTAATCTATCGTAAAATTCGCTTATACTCTTACCTCGGGTCATACGAATCGTGGATATCTCATGAAGGTACCATACATAAGATTTTTAGGGGCATATCTTTGTTTCAAATGTTTAACAAGGTCGTCAAGGGTTTCAAAAGTCTTACCATAAGTGCTATCACGTGCAGCACCTCTTAATTTAGATAATACCAATTTAACATATTGTTTATCGCAATTAATAGGGATAGAAGATTCTCCATTCTTTACATCTTCGAGAAAATCTCTTAAAGGCATGTTTTTACCATCATAAAGAGGAATATGTATAGTTCCTTGTTGTAGTGCAAAACATTCCGCCATGGTAGTAACCATGGGGTCATTAGTATCAGATTCGTTATCGTCAGGCATTTTGCTTATTTGATTACCGATTTTCATAAACGTATAATAAATTTACTTTAATAAAATTCGTTAATAATGTCGAAATTAAAAGGTATTCCTAAAATTCCGGTTATATCTGTGAACCCTGTATAATTAATGGAATGAAATTCTAGAACTGTATGATTAACGCAAACCTTAGTTTTCCCAAAGGTTTTTATTGTACCTTCCCTTAGTGAAAGAGTTTTAGTATAATCAATACCCAAGTAAGAATTTAATTCCTTGTTTTTAATTAAGTTTATTGGTAATGATGAGTCGATAATGAATTTCGCTTCGAATTCTTTAAAGAATCTTGATTTTAATAATATAAGTGGGTACAAATTATTGTATCTTTCTATAAAATAGAAATATGAACTCATGAGGGGTTAGATGTGGATGGCGCTTAAAGAATTAAGCCTAATAAGTGTAGTTGTTTCCGCGGTATGGGCGTCTGACTTGACGCGGCTCGAACTACTGCGAGTACACCGCGCGCGAAGTCAATGAGTAGTTAAAGTCAATAATATATGTTTTCGCGCTATATTTGAATTTAATGCTTCTTAATATTTTGCCTTTTATTAAATTTTTGAAGTTTTAGTTAATTATTATCACGAATGAATTTTAACAAAACGGTTTTTTATTATGATTTCAAAATTATAGTCAGTTATAATTAGTAAAATTCACGTGTTCTAATTTTGATTTTCTTTAACCTTGACTAATATTGATGGACTTTGAGCTATCGCTTTAAGACTATCTAGGATTATTTTTCTTTTTGTGTCTTGAGTCCAGCTCTCGTTTTGATAAAATATTTTGTCTTGAAAATAACTAAATTGACAAAATTGATCAAGACTGGGAGCTCCTAAAACTGCAATAATGTTAGTATCGCTTTGATAATTCACCACTTCGAAGTTAATTCGGACTTCGCCAATTATTTCTTTTTCATTAGTATATAAGTTTATTACTTTTATAGGTAAGTTAACTTTACCAATAGTTTGAATTTCGTTATTGAAAAGTGAATAAGTTCAATTTTTGTCAATATCAACGAAAGTCTCTAATTCTGACTGCTTGATTAAATTTTTAGGTAGTGTAGGATCAAGAATATAATTTTTATTTTGAGAAATAATATGATTAGAATTAAATTCACCAATTGGATAATTACAAGGTGTTTCAGTGTACCTATACATGTAATTGCCTGAATTTGTATATATATTTTGATTTTATTATTTGACGAATTAGATTTTTCTATCAAATATACTTAATGCTATCGGGTTTTTAGCTATTGCTTCAAGTCCACTTTTAAATCTATTTATTATTATATCTTTATCCCAAATTCCGTCTTGAACAATTGTTTTGTTGACAAAATAATTAAATTGACAAAATTGATCAAGAGAACTAGCTCCTAAAATTGCAATTATATTAGAATTGGTTTGATAATTAACTACACCAAATTTTAAAGATACTTTTTCGCTTGATTCGCCTTTTGTGTAATATTCGTTTGTTATGTGAACTGGTAAAATTACTTGGCCAATAGTTCTAATTTCTCCTTTAAAAAGTGAGTGAGTTTTATTTTTATTAATATTAACAAAAGATTCTAATTCGGAGTGTTTTATTAAGTTAATAGATATAGTAGGATCAATGAGAAATCTTTTATTTTGAGATATGCAATGGTAAGATATAAAATGTCCACTAGGATAATTAAAAGAGGAATTAATGTAATTATTCATGAATTTATCCTGATTATTATAATTATTTAACCTCTTTAGTTATTATTTGCGCGTATTATCCACCAAATAAGAACAGAGAAGGCAATGTGTAGTTAAAATGAAAATGAACAAAACACGTGGAAAATAATGATTTTTATTATTTACTTGAATTAAATTTTGAACGTGTTTCTATATCTATATATATATGTATGGAGTGTACCTTGTCACCTCCGATTTAGATAAACAGTAGACGTTGTCGCCTCATATACAACGCTGTCACCTCCGTTTTCGGAGGTGACAACGTTTTGACAATTTTTCAACGCAAATCGACTTGAAATAATGTCTAACGTGATTTGCCGAAAAAACGTTTTGAGGAGACAAGGACTATTCCGTACCTACAGTGATGACGTCTTAGTTCAGGCGTATATCACAGGCGCTAGTATCGTCATACAATGCGATACATCCTGCACGTTGTCACCTCCAGTGTATATATCGACAGTTTTAAATACAGCGTCGACGTTCTCACCTCTAAAATGTGGCAACACTGCATAAGCGTTTGACAGCGTGCTGTTCGAGTTTTCATGTTTTTGAGAAGCCAATGATGCTGGTATATCGGCATAAGCATGCAAATCGACCTTTGCCTTTTTTTAGTTTGTTTTGAACCATGACAACTTTAAAAAAAAGATAGCATCTCCATAACTTATATGTTCAGTTTTTAACATAATTAGCTGAATTCTGATATATTTCTCAGTTTTAATTGAACTTAAAATATTACATGTTTAATTGCAATTTGTTTCGTTAAATAAATATTTAAATATTAATTTTTTATCACGTCAATTGTTCTTTAATTTTGATGTACCCAAATTTAATTAACTTAACACTTTTTTACACAAAAATTATTTCCAAATAACTTGAATTTAAATCCAAAGTGATATAAATCGTCTCATTATTTTTTTTTGTTTTTAAAAAATTTGCAAACTTCAGTCTCATACTTTCATCTTCTCAAAAAATAAATAAACTGCAATAGCAAGTGATTCTATCTCTACAAAGAAACAAAGTTTTAGTTGATAATAATGAGTTAGACAAATGTTCAATTATATTCGTAATAAATAATTCCTTTTCTTGATTTTACTTTCGTTGAATAGCTGAGGCAAAAAATGTAAAAAATATATTTCTTTAAGACCCTTTTTATATTTCCTCGAAAACTCATTCTGGCATCTTTATAACCATGAAATATTTTATAGAAAAAAATCTCACCTTTATAATAAAAATTAAAAGGTGCATGAATTACGATGGAAAGTACATGAAAAATTATTTAAAATTTATTTTATAAAAACTAAAATTTCTATAGGGTAATAAGTACAGATTTGAAAATAACGATATTACATAAATCTATAATAATAGCATGCAATTCTCGTTTACTTTAGAGTGGGAAGAATTCTTGTTTCTTAAATATGGTCCAATACAATGACCCTTCTTCCACTCTTAGGAACAGGACATTATCTCTTAATCGATTTTTAATAGTAATGTAATTACTTTTTAATGAATTGAAGAATATTTGCGTAAAGACTAATTGAAAAAGTCTAACTTGTCATTCCGTTTTGATCTGTGCGTGAAGTAAGAAGCAACAGTTATTTTCTAAATATATTTGTGAAGTGTTTAAGAAGATTACTTACACTGTAAAATGGCATCAAGAGCCGAAAAAATAGTGAACATGTGTAAGGTAAGTAATTTAGATTATTCATTTAGTTATAATTTTAATTTTTAAATTCTCAAAGGAATGTCTTTTGTGAATCAAATACATGAATTAATTCAATGTTCAAAATAAATTATTTTCTATGTTCAACTATTAAATATACCTTTAATTTAAAAACAATTCTGCACACAGAGACATATGTAATGTAATCCTAAAAAATCGTCTTTTTATACTTCTTTCATGATTCTAAACAATCTATCATATAATATTTTGTTACTACTTGTCAATATTTAAAAAAATATTAATTTTTTTAATAACTTAAACTAGCTAAAAAAATAAATAAATAAAAAGTAAAAATAAATAAAAAATAAAAACTAACATTAAAAATACTTCAATTGACCTATTTTTAATATATATTGTGCAGAAATTACGAATTAATTGGAATTTTGAAAACCAAAAATTGTGAAAAAATTCATTTTCACATTTCTTTTGTTTAAAAACTATTGTGTTCTAGGTTTTCAATATAATGAAAGGGGATGCTATATCATATGAAGCTAAAAAAGATCTTCTCATCGTGCAGTTTGGAGAAAATTATTTAAAAAAACATAAAAGGGAACGAAAAGAATATGCTTGCAGTAACAGAATGCGTGAACTTTCTCGTTTGTTAATTGCGTACCGAGAAATTGTCCATGATGATAAAGTTTCGTTTAAAGATATTTTGAAAACCCGAAATGTAGATAATATTATCACAGCTACACGTAAAATATCAGGATACGATCATTTACAAAAAACATTCAATGCCCCCAGTCTTGCAATGCACATGGGCACCTATTTAAAAGATATTTGCGATCTACTGCAACAATTAATTTTGAAAAGAAGCTCTGGTTTTTCCACTTCCTCAGAAGCAGAATGTAATGCATGGTTAAAAGATTTAAAACATTTTAAAAATTTAATTACATCATCATGGAATGTAGAAATATCTTCTCTTGCAAACAAAGATCTACAAGAGAAACGTTGGAATAAACCATTGCTTGTGCCGCTGGTTAGTGACATCAAAAAATTCAGAGATGAAACACTAATACTTGCCAATGAATGTGTAGAGAAGTTTAAAAATTGTATAGACGACGCTATAATTTATAAAACTTTTGTGCACTGCGTTTTGGCTCTGATCATTCTTTTCAATCGAAGGCGAATAGGTGATGTTCAGTATTTAAAAATCCAGGATTACGAGAAGGAGACAATATCAAATTTTTCAGATTTTAAAAGTGCATTGTCAGAATCTGAAAATATATTAACAACAAAGTATAAACGTGTTGTCAATAGCGGTAAGGGATCCAGAGCTGTGGTAATTTTAGTGCCTGAATTGTTACAAAAATTTATGAAAATATTGTTGGAAGAGAGAAAGAAATACATTTCAATTGAAAACGAATATGTATTTGCATTACCTAGCAGTAAAATTAAATGGGGGCAAGGTGATGTGGCAATTCGATATTTGACACAAAAAATTGAATTGCAATATCCTGAAGCAATGACAAGCAATAAGCTTAGAAAACAAATTGCAACCGTGGCACAGATACTAAACATGTCGAAGGAAGATACAAGACAATTCTCTAAGTTTATGGGCCACACTGAAAAAACGCATGCAGAATTTTATGAGTAAGTAAATATTTTAACTAAGAAATGTTCTACATATATAACGCGATTTAAAGAAAGGGACCTTAGAAGCAAACGAATTATAGGTTATGTTTATGCATGATTTATCTTTCTTAAAAGTTCCTCTTTTATTATGTGAAGTCAAAATTAGTTTTTATTGAATATTTTGAATGAAATGAAGACTTTAACATCAGTGGTTTGTATTAATAGTTAAATATCTTTCTGTAATTGCACTCCAAATATTACAAACATAATCTAAAACATTTTGATTCTAAGGTACCTTTCATTAGATCGCGTCACATATATTCAAGCAAACATCATATACTGTTTTTAATTTCAAGGTTGCCAGTTGACATCTATCAAACAGCTAAAGTTTCCAAGCTGCTAATGATGATGGAAAAAGGATCACTTCCATTAGAGTTTAGAGGAAAATCTTTGACAGAAATTAATTTTGACGAAAATTCGGAATATGCTGAAGAATTTGCTGAAGGTAAAAAACACTTTTTATTGTACTGATTATACTAAAGCTAATTCTAACATTTTTGATCTTGATTTAGAAAGGGAAACTTCCGCATTAACTTCTGATGGAACCAGGATTGACAAGCAGGACAGTGAAGGTAATATTGTGCTTAAATTTTTATTTAATCTCCTTTGAGAAAAATGTTTAAAAAGTCATATTTTCAGATTTCCAGTTAGATGAGAATATGAATCTCGACTCATCTGACTTGACACAATCAAAGAAACAAAAAATTAAAAAATCTGGTAAGTTAAGTGAAACTTTATGCGAACGCGAAACTAGAAAAAATATAGTATATTAAGAAACAAAACTAAAAATTTTCTTTTAAGGAGAAAGCTGTAATATTTTTTTCTTTTCAGGTTGGTCAAAACATGAAATAGAGGAAATAAATTGTCATTTTACGGCATCAATGCAGAAAGGAAATTATCCATCATCACAAGAAATTAAAATCTTTGTTAAAGAAACGGGAAGCAAGAGAAGTGTGGCTCAAATAAAAGCAAAAATCCAACATTTATTTAAAAAAAAAAATAGTTTTTATGTAAATAATTCTGCATTTCACCCGGCGAGCGTAAGGTTAAAATTTGTAACACCGAGTGTAAGGCTGGGTATTATTCACCCTGTAATGACTTTCTATTTAGATATTAAAAATGGCTCTAAATCCATTAAAGTTTTTTATTAGAATTGTTTAATATTAAGTTTACAACTTATAGAGCTCACCATAATAGCAGATGAGTAATATACCTAGGATTATTTGTTTCAGCTGGGCTGCGTGAAAAGTTAGTAAATAACAATAATAATTTGTTTAAACAATGTTGATCGAATAAATCCAGGCATATTTTTTATCTGTTATTATAGTTAACTCGATAAATTGCAAAGTTGGGAAAAAACTGCATCCTTCTAGGTGCAATGCGGTAAAAGTTAGTAAGTAACAATAATAATTTATTTAAACAATGTTGAACTAATAATTCCAGGTACAATCTTTATCTGCTATTATAGTTAATTCGATAAATTGCAAAATTTCGAAAAAACCGCATCTTTCTAGATGCGATGCAACAAATGTTAGTGAATAACAACGATAATTTGCTTAAACAATTGTTGAACTAATAATTACGGGTCCATTATTTATCTACTATTATGGTTAGCTTCTTAAATTGCAAAATTGGGAAAACACTGCATCTTTTTAGGTGCACTGGGATAATAGTTAATAATAATAATAATTTGTTTAAAAAATTGTTGAACTGATGATTCTGGGAACGCTATTTGTTCACTATAATAGTTAACTCTATAAATTGCAAAATTGGAATAAAACTGCAACTTTCTCGGCACACTGTTAAAAAAGTTAGTGAATAATAAATTGTTTAAACAAATGTAGAGTGAGTAGTAACATTAGTCAAATATAGTATTTGTCTGTTATAAACAATTATAAAAAATTACCTTAATGATTTTATGGCTTTTTTACAACATACAAATAAAAAACATTTAGTTTACTCCTGGTTGGTTTTAGAATTTGTGCACATGCATTAACAATAGTTATAAATAAACAATAAGAGATGTAAAAAAACCAATTGTTTAATTTAAGCCTTACTCTCGGTGGGTTAATATTCATTACGGATGTATTTTGTAGCATTTGTACATTATTTTATATGCATTACTTTAATTATCATATTATGCTAAGCTAAAATAAAATATTTGTAGCGGTTTCCTCAAAAATCATTTCTCTTTTAAATATGGAGGATTTTATGATAAATGTAGCACTCGAAGAGATTCGCATTCAATAATAATTAATAAAAATCAATCAGTAATAATTTTACTGAATTCTGTATTAAATTTAGAAATTATACTTCATCGTAAGTTTTTTATTATTTTATCCTTCAAACGTATGGTAATTAAATTCATAAAGTCGAAAATTATCCTTACGATAACAAGGACTGTGTCTGTTACATTAGGGAATTTAAAGAAAATTTAAAAAGTGCGAAAATGCATAATAGTTGTTAAAAACAATCTTTAGGAATTCTAAAGATTCTATAGTCCATGAATCTAAGTACCTTTAAAACAGTATAAGTAAAAATTATTACTACGTTCAAATCTCGTAGATATGACAACCTTGTTGGAGGTGAGTACGTATGGCAAGTAACTCTCTTCTATATATACAGGTGAGGTAGCTTCGTATGTGCTATACCTACGAAATATATATAAAAAAAATTTTGAAAATTCTTACCCCTCTTTTGAGAATCGTATTAAGAAAGTCCCCCTTAACATAAATATGTTTAATTTTTTAAAATATTTTAACGAGAAATAGCGGAGGCGACAACGTGAGTCAGACTACACGGAGGTGACAAAGTATAGTCTATACATATATATATATATATATATATATATATATATATGCGCAACTTAAAAAAGGTGATTAAAAACTTCTTAAATGTTCCTGAAACCGGTTACTAGGAGGGTTTTCGAGGTCGCTGATTACGAATATGACATTCTTTTTCCAAAATTCAAAATGGAGGATTCAATATGGCGGACGACAATATAAAAAAATTGATTGGAATTACTTAAAACGAAATTCTCGGGAGTTTTTGAGGTCGCTGATTACAAATCTGACATTATTTTTCCAAAATTCAAAATGGCGGATCTTATATGGCGTACAACAAAATAAAAAAAGTGGACAAGTGCGAGTTTTACTCGCACTGCAATGGCGGGTTCCGTACACGAAAATTAAAATTATATTTTTTTAATTGTTTATTTTAATTCTACTAATTACCGATAAATGTTGCAAGTATTGTTTTAATATTCGTGTACGGAACCCGCCATTGCAGTGCAAGTACAACTCGCACTTGTACACTTTTTTTTAATTTTATTTTTAAATTTTTGTAAAAATTTTTTAAAAAATCTAAAAAAAAAATTTTTTTAATTTTTTTTTAGATTTTTTAATATACTTTTTGTAATTAGACTGTAAAAATATACTAATAAACCCATTTTTAGTTAATTAGATCAAATAATGTAGAAATTAGAAAAAAAAAATTTTCAAATTTTTTTTTAGTTTTTCCTTGACAACGCTATGGTTATTATTACATAGCAAGTTCTTTATATTTTTCCTGTAATATTCGCGTTAAAATACACCAGTATGCTCTCCATGTTGAATAGTTTAGAAGTTAAGAGGGGGAATGGTCACTTTTTATGCATTTTTGGCCAAAAATCTTGTTATTTCCTTGACAACGCTATGACCATCACCTCCAATCACATTTTCTATATTTTTCCTGTAATCTACATGTGAAAAAACGTATAAGTGCCAAATTTGAGTTCTCTAGGTCAAATAGTTTAGCTGTTAGGAGGGGGGACACGATTTGGCTACGGACACAAGAGTCTCACCAATAGGGTTCCGCCGTTACACCGTAGGTGTACGGAACCCTGAAAATTGATCAGATTGACTTGAAACTGAATACTCGGGGATTTTTAGGGTTGCTGATTACAAAACTGAAATCAGTTTTTAAAAATGCAACAACGAGTCTGGTATATAATCTAGTATATAAAAAAATAAAATTAAAAAATATATATAAAAATTTTTTAAAAATAAAAAATGAAATGTAAAATCTTATGGCAGCCTTCTCGTGGTACATTCTGCGGTGGTGAATTTAAAAAATTTAATAAACTATAAAAATTAAATTTACCAGCTAATGTCAGGGTATTTAACGAAATTTAAATTTACCAAAAATTATCATACTGATGTCAGATTAACCAGTTTCAAACAAATTCAATCAATTTTAAAAACTTTCCGCCATATTAAATATTCTATTTTGAATTTTGAAAAACTAATTTCAGATTCGTAATCAGCGACCCTGAAAATCCCTAAGTATTCAGTTTCAAGCAGTGTTGCCACATGAAAATTTCATTCCGTACTAGTTCCGAGAATATTTTGTACTAAAAGTCACTAGATTTATTTTTCTTTCGTACTAGATAATTGTTCTATTTCTTTAGCGGGTATTTGAAATTGAAATTATAAACAATTGTTTTAGATAAATTGTAAAACTGTTATAAAAATTGTTATTTAAGCTAAATTTATTTTTTAATTGGAATTTTGATTATTTAAAATTTGCTTGAAATTAAAAAAATTATTTTATTTACATTTAATTACATCATTGATTTTTAAATAATATATTTTCAAATTATATATCTGCATATTCATTATTCAGTAAGGAAAATAACAAATATATAATAATATTAAAAATTTTATTTACAAATTGCTATTTTTTATCTCATTTAGTAAAACTTATAATTTTAGAGATAAAATATAATTTGTAAATATAATAAATCTTATTCAAGTCTTTACGATAAAGTGAGATCATTTAAAATTTCTGTGTCATTGTCATTAACAATATCAAGGTTTAGATTTTCGATAGGATTTATCAACTCATCAGCAGGTAACTTCTGCTTCTTCCATTCGTAACTTTTGTTTCCATCAAGCAAAGTTTTTGCTGCCATTAAACCATCACATGTCGGTATTAACAATCGGTTTCGCTGTTTAGTTTTAATTAAGTTTAATGTTTAAAACGTTCGGTCCGCACCAGCCGAACTGTGAGGTAGGCACATTAAATTAATCATTAAATGTGACAATTTTTCAAACATCGCGTTATTGTTTGCACTTTTAATTTCGCCAACATATTCCCAAAATGATCCAGCGTCATTCAATACTTCACTCGTCATTTTCATTTCATGATATCCACCTTTGCTAAAAACTTCCGGAAGTAAACGCCATTCGGAATTGATTGTTTCCCAATCTTCTTCAGGGACAATGTGTTTAAATTTTAAAAGTAGCTCCGTAATACATCGGACTTCGCCTGATATTGCTTTTCGAGGATCTATCATTTCAATTAGTGTTTGAATAACTAGATTTAAATAACTTCGTTATTCAAATCAAAACGTTTACGGATTTGTAAACAAAGTTCGACGTAGAAATCTAAAGCTCGTAATCGAAAGAACTCAACATCTGATTTGTGAGTAATTGCACATTGTTGCAATAAAATTTCACATTTTGTTCCGACATACATTTCATCTAATTTTAAAATATTATGCGGATTCAGCGGATTGATATTTGACAAAAGTGTCTTGTTAATGTATTCTCGCTGTAAAAAAGACTGATACAATTGACGCAGTAAGGAACTAACTTCTGTTCGCAATTTATAAATTTGAGGTTTTTCGCTTTGAAACAAAAGGGTTAATTTAGTAACCAGCGACAAGACATGCAATAAAAAAGCGTAGTAGACTTTATAAATCGGATTTTGTAAAGCACCTAATATTACATTAGCCGCAACGACATTATCTTCAATTGCCGCAGTTGTAAAGAAAATAATTAACGCAGACCATTGCTCCAACATTCGATCAACCCCCATTTTTAATGAGAGCCATCGCGTTTGGCAAGGTCTTAACAATTTGTGTGGTTCTACGCCCGCAACAGATTGAAATTCTTTAAATTCCGATTTTCTTTTAGCGCTGTGACTAAAATATCGTTTTGATCGCTTGATAAATTGCGTCTGCAATGCCATTAACGATTTCTAACAAAGTTAAAAAATTTTCTTTACAACGAAAGTTTTGTTTATATCGAATTACTAAAGCTAAACATTTCTTGGTGCTAATGTCGGTACACTCATTAATTATTAAACTAAAATAATCATTCTTTGCAAATTTTAAAATTGCTTCACGACCAGCATGACCTAATACATTTATAATTAAATTTTTTTCTCAAGTACGGCCACACTGAATACTTTTAACAATTTCCGAATTTGGAAAAGCTGATTTTATTAATTTTGGAAGATAATCGAATTGAATAAATGGCAAATAGTGAGCTACAATGTACTATGTCTCAGTGTTGTTTAATTTAGAATGACAAAATAAATTAATTTTTTTTCTTTTAAATATATACTGATCCTGTTAACTTTGATTAGTACGTACCGATCCATGATTATATATTATTGTTGTCGTATTATTTAAAAAGCCGCTAGTAAAAATTTTATATAACTGCCATGTTCTTTCGAAAGACGCTTTGTTTTTGTTTAGGTAATTAGGTTAGTAAAAATAAGCAGGACCCGCAAGACGGCCAACGATTAAGGAGGATTTAAATTTATCATTTATGTCGAGAGAAAACTTAACGACAGAGCAAAACAGTTTGATTAGCTCTTCCACTAGAACCAGCCGACATTCTTTTGTGTTTGACTGACGATGACCAATCAAGTATTCTTGTGTAATAAAGTAAAATATCACACACAAAAAGTACTAGATTCGTTTTAGTGAGTATTAGATCACTAGAAGCAACCAAAAAGTACTAGATCTAATACAATTGTACCAGTAGTGGCAACACTGGTTTCAAGTCAATCTGATCAATTTCTTATTTCGTTGTCCGCTATATTGGATCCGCCATTTTGAATTTTAGAAAACTAATATCAGATTCGGTATTAGCAATCCTAAAAACCCCCAAGTAACCATTTTCAAGCGAATTTGACCAATTAAAAAAAATTTTCATAAATAAAATCCATTAAAAATTTTTTCAACACACTTTTGGCCCAAACAGTGGAAATCTCGTTGAGGGGTTAATGTCAATTCAATATTTTTTCTGAAGGTCTGCATACCTGTAAACAACCTCCTTAAGCCAAGAGAATATAAGGTATACGTAAATCAGTCTTCAAAATAATCTGAGTTAATAAAAATTAATAATAATGTTGAAATATACGGGTCAGAATTTCTCAAACGGATCACCTAAAATTAAAT